TACCGAACAAGAGGGTGTACAAAGGTTCTTAGGTATGGTTAACTATGTGGGCAAATTTGTTCCTAATCTGGCAACTCACAAGAGTCAGATGAGAAGTCTACTCTGTAAAACTACAGAGTGGTGTTGGAACAGTAATCACCAGAAAGAGTTTGAGGAGCTCAAGGCATTAATCATGCATGCTCCAGTACTGAGGTTCTCTGATGAAAAGCACAAAACCAAAATCTCAGCAGATGCTTCTAAAGCAGGTTTAGGTGCAGTGTTGTTACAGCAGTATAGCACTAGATAGCGTCCAGTCGCATATGCCTCCAGGGCTCTGACAACTTCAGATTGAGAAAGAGGCATTGGCACTGTCATATGCATGTGAGAAATTCCATGTGTTTATCTATGGTAACACAGTATGGGTCGAAACAGATCATAAACCTTTGGTTACTATTGCAAAGAAGGGTCTACCAAGGATACAGAGACGGTATCTAAAACTTCAGAAATATGACTTGCAACTCGAGTACAGGCCAGGGAAGGAATTGTTGGTGGCAGACTCAGAACCAAACCAGATATACGAGCAGGATGAGACCATACATGTAAACCTTATCAGAAAGAGTTGCCCAGTCTCAGATGAAATGTGGACAGTTATTTCACGTGCTACTGCAGAAGATGAGTGTTTGCAAAAGGTGATTCAAGCCATAACATGCGGGTGGTCTGTACAATCTATACCATACCATTATGGTCAATACAGGGATGAGCTATCTGTACTTGATGGAATTCTGTTTAAGGGTTCAAGAATTGTGATACCAAGTGTGTTACAGAAACACATGCTGATCAAAATACACAAGAGCCATCTAGGGATGGAAAAGTCAAAACGACGTGCAAAAGCAGTGTTATTCTGGCCCAATATGAATGCTGATATAGAGCAGACAGTTAGAGCCTGTGAAACATGCCAGAAATACAGGTCAAAACCAAGCAAAGAGCCAATGTGGGTTGAAGAAAAATTGGTATTGAGACCATGGGGAAAAGTAGGAATAGATCTATTTTCTCTTGAGGGCAAGAACTATGTTCTACTGATGGACTATTACTCTCATTACCCAGAGATGGCTTTGCTGAAGGACACTACTGCTAGTCAGATGATAACATTAAGTCATTCTTTGCTCGTCATGGGGTCGCAGAGGTAGTCCGAACAGACAACGCCTCACAGTTCAGCTGTTCAGCTTTCAGTGATTTTGCTAAACTGGAGGGGTTCAAGCAAGTCACATCCAGCCCACTGTACCCACAGTCTAATGGGTTAGTCGAGAACGGTGTCAAAACAGTGAAACAACTGCTTAAGAAAGCTCTCGACTCAAAGACAGATCCGTATCTAGCTTTGTTAAACTACAGGGCTACTCCACTAAAACATGGTCTGTCTCCTGCAGAGCTGTTGTTCAACAGGAAACTCAAAACTAGGTTGCCAGTACTCCTAGAAACAGAGAAGGATGACAAGGTCATTCTTAACAAACGGAGAGAAAGGAGTGAACAGAAAAGGTACTATGACAAAGGGTCCAAGGTGCTCAGTGCACTCAGTCCAAATGATAGGGTGAAAATGCATGATGGGAAAACATGGAACGTTGAGGCCCGTGTGGTGAAAACAGTGGCAACCAGGTCATATGATGTAATGACACCTGAGGGAGTTACATACAGGAGAAATAGGAGACACTTGCTACATGTACCTGAGTGTGAGCAAACAGACAGGCAAGAAAGTGACATTACAGGTCCGACAACGTCAAGCCCAGACACTCCTGTGTCAGACCCACCAGGGCAGTCTGTTGAAATGAGACGGTCAGATAGAGAAGTAAAAGCACCTCAGAGGCTGATTCAGGAAGTATAAATGTGTTATTGAAATGCAGTGTTCACTATGCAAAGAAGTGTAACCAGGATTTATAGAGAATTGTTATTGTTACTGTAATTGTTATTGTTTTATCTTATAAGGGAAAGGCATACTTGATAAGGGGGATGTGGCATATTGTATCAGAGGCCACGTGACCACTTATGGGATGCGCAGCCCACGCAGAGAGGTGGGAGAGCGGGAGATCCCAGCTCAATGCACAATACTTATGTTTTAAAGAACAGTTGTTTTCTTTAGTATTCTTAGACAAGAAGATACAACACCAGAGTAATTTTTTTCCTTTTTGTACTTGATGCCAATCTTCCTCAACACACCGCTTTCCTCTACACTCAGCTTCTTTCCTTCTTCCTCGCTGTCCATTTCCACATCTCCACACTCTTTCCGCTCCTTCATCAGCTGAAGTAGCAAACTGTTCAAATTCTTCTTGTATCTTGAATTTGCCCAGTAAGTCCCTCAGGTCCTCTGGCACTGGCCTTTTAACTATCCCAAAGCCTAGGACTAAGAGGCATGGAGAGGCAGCCTTTAGTTATTATTCCCCCAGCCTCTGGAATAGCCTACCAGAGAACCTGAGGGGGGCCGAAACTGTGGACATATGTAAATGAGATTTTAAAACACATATTTTAAGCTTTAGTTTTCCTTAGGGTGCTTTTTAGTTGTTCAGTTTGTGTCATTCTTTTGTTTTTTATCTTATGTTTGTTGTGTAGTAAACATTTCAGCTTTTATTTTCATTGATTTTTATTCGTTTTTTCTTGTAAAGTACATTGCATTGCATTCCATGTCTGAAATGTGCTGTATAAATAAAGCTTGATTTGAAAGATCTACCTCCAAAATAAAAGTCCCTTTGGAACCCATGAAATAATGCTCTTATGACAATGATTACGTTTTTAGTTCGTAAATACAAAACACAAACACTACAATGATATCAATACAAAAAAAAAACTACAAAACAAAAGACAAAAGCACAAAAACATAAAACATTCATCATGCTTTACTGAGAAATACATTTTTATATAGACTGAGTGAGTTCAGTAAATATGTGTTGTCAGTCATAATTGTTAGTTTGGATGTACTGTAGTTATGTGCCATATATAAAAAAGGAAGAAATTGTGTGTTCCACATATTGAGGACTACAAAATCACTTAGACACGAGGACTACAACAGCACTATGTCTGCATTGGCAGCTATTGGGTCACCTAACCCATTTGGGAGGACTCCAAGTGCTGTAGTGCAATATTTAACGTATTATTCTATTCTGCCTCACAAAAGCCAAGAGTGACTCCCATAGGCTCATAGACTGTGATAACACATACAGTATGTAGGAACTCTAGAGGACTGTGTGCAGGATAAAGCATTCAAAAGCAAAAGAGGCTAGCAAGAGGCTCTGACTGTCAGTCCAGCAGCGTGTGCTGGCTCTAGTCCACATCTACCCTCAGGGAGAGGATTTTCTGGTCTCAGCCTGGCTAAAGAAATAGCTATCCCCTTGGCTGACCAGTGAGGTTCATAGTGTACAGACGAGAAGGTACAGCTGCCCTCCAAACTTAATGTTTTCAGCATTTTGACTTTGCCTCCATCACAATAACTTACATTCCAACACATTGGTGAAGAACTCCACTTGGAGTTCCCAAAAACGGCCACCCTGGACGTCTAGCCCTCTATTAGTGAGGGTTACAGGGGAGTGACCCGCTAAGGCTTCTGGAAGCCCTCATCAGAGAGGGCCAAAAGCCAGCTGGAGTGCTACACTCGGTACTGGTCTATGATCATGTCCCTGACCATCATCTTTAACAAGCATGTGGTGGATCAGCTTAAATGTAAAGGACACCATGACCTGCCGGAAGACCGACACGTTGGAGAAGAACTCGACCTGCAGTTGCTTGAAATTGGCAACATGCACATGACCAGTACTCACCTACCAGTCGAGAGACGGTTACCCTCAAGTGGTGCACTCCACCACGACTGGAGCATGCAGTGGATCTGCTTAAGTGCGGAGGATGCCATGACCTGCCAGAAGACCATTTAAAATCCACAGTATAACCTGGTGGACATAGAGAGGGAAAATGACCCTCAGCCCATCTCCAACTTGGGCTCAATGTTCAATAGCCAGAAATGGGACATCTATGACATTCACTAATGTTCCAGCCCTAAGATGGACATGCACCACATCATCACCTCCATCACAAAGCTGGAGACCAGTGAAAACCCATGTCAGGTAAAGAGAATGACATAGGGACAAGGCGTTTGGAATGTATAAGCTACTGCTGCAACAAACCCAACGAAGAGGAAAAAACTTCTGAGGAAAAAAAAGAGTAGTGGAACTGACGATCACAAGAATGGGAAAGCCACCAAATTATGTGATCTTCCCCTATAGGATCCACCCACTCCCCCTAATACAACAGCAGCAGGAACATGATTATGTCAATCTGAGGTATATATAATTTGTTTTCTCTATTTTTTACCCACAGTGGGTAAACTCACATATTAATTGAAGCAATACAGTATTTTCAAAAAATAAAGAGTAATAATAAAAACAGATAAATGTGCCTATCAGTTGTGCTGTGTGTGTGTGTGTGTGTATGTGTGTGTGTGTGTGTGCGTGTGTGTGTGTGTGTGTGTGTGTGTGTGTGTGTGTGTGTGTGTGTGTGCGTGTGTGTGTGCTTTAGCCGATGTCAATAGTTTCTTTGTACATCTCACTTTAAGCAGCAGCCACTGGAGGAACCTGTCAATAAGACACTTCCGTTACAGTGGGAGCATTGACAGTATATATGAAAATGTATGCACTCACTAACTGTAAGTCGCTCTGGATAAGAGCGTCTGCTAAATGACTAAAAATGTAATATATAGTTATCATATTTACAAGATCTGCTATGAAAACTAGTCTAACAACTTCAATAATTCTATCAGACTGATATTTATATTATTCTGGCCCCCGCTGCACTCCTCTAATGATCTACACTGCATAGATCTCTTGCTAGCAGGCCCCTTTTATTTGTCCTCACCTCTTCCTCAGACTATTTTTGTCCTTTTTCAGGTCCTCTTTCTCACTTTCCTCAACATTTTCCTCCTGCTGGCACTCAATATTTTTTACCTGCTGCCTATCACTGGTTTTCTCCTCCATCATTCATTTCATACCTTTCTTTGGCTTCTTTTTCCCTTTGCCGATCCTCTTTGCCTCAACATCCTGAGAGTAGAAGAGAAGCTTACTAAACTTAAACTGACAGGTAACTTACAGCTATAGTAGGAGGGAATGACAACCCCTCTTCCTTTCCCAAATCCTACCTGTTGGGCCACTCCTGCCATTTCCTGCACCATTTCCTGGAGCAGCTTCCTGCCGTTCTCATTCAGGTTGGTGATGGGGTCCAGACGAGGGCTGAGGTGGTATAAGTAGTACTTCACAGCAGGCGGAGCAACAATGACAGGGACAGGGCTGGGAGGGAGTCAAAGGCCTTGGGACATCCTCTGGGAGGGAGGGGCCACAGCAGAGGGCAGGGCCATAGGGCTTCAGCCAGGGTCCCGGGTGCTGAGGTCACAAGAGGTGTAAGGCCAGTCTGGCCAGACACAGGACCAGAGACCTTCACTGGGCTCTGTAGGACCAGAAACAACAAACAAACTATCAGGACAGTGCAATGTTATACACAATCTCTAGATATACTGTATAACTACTCTATAACACATTGCAGATATCTGACTACACTCAATAAGTAGGAGTAACTTACAAAGCTCTGGACAGAGTTATTTTTGTCAGGTTTGAGGACTCTGCTCTTGGCTATGGTGGCCTACATTTCTGCCATGCTCTCTATCATTTCGGCCATCTCTCCAGTGCATTTCTTGAAGGCCACTTTCAACTTTTCAAGGTCATTCAGCCAGCTGTCCAGGTCTACTGCCTCAAGATCACCTTCGCTGCAGTTTCTCTTCATCACTTGGATCAGTGCCCTCACCTCCTTGCCTATCCTCCCTTTGTCCTCCCTATTCGTCTCTTCATCTTTCAGGTTCTCCTCCTTCATCCTCCCATGCACTTCTCAATCCAGACTCTGAAGCATCCCTTAGTCGTCTTCTGATTCTCTTTTTGAGGTACAGGTTGGTGTCCAGACCGTCATTGATAAGGGCTCTATAATTTATACGATTTCACTCATCAAGACGCACAGATCTTGTATGAATACCTTTATTTTGAAATTCCTTCATAATAAACACTACCGGAAGTATGTCCCACCAGCTATTGAGTCCCTCATTCAAGAACTGTGTTGTGTGTTCGCTGTTTCTGCATTCTTATATGCAGCTAGGTAGATAACTAACGTTAGCTAACTGTTCAAATATGAACGCGCCACCGGCATTCGAGTCATTTCTGTTGTTTGAAGGGGAAAAGAAGTAAGTTTTAGTCATATAGCTAGTTAGCTACTGTAACATATTACGAGATCGCTTGCTGACGTTTCCCTCCAAGAACGTTTAGCTAGCTAGGATTAGCTAATTTAGCTATTGTTATTCTGGTTAGTTTAGGTTATCTAGCGATCAAAGTTAACTGCGATCAAAGGTAAGTAGGTAGCTGAACCAGAATATGGGTTTACAGGAGACGTTTAATATGGCGATTCTCAGAAGATAATCCCAGATTCTGGTTCAGGAGGTAGCTAGCTAGGTAGCATGCTACAACATATCATATTTGAGGGCATGCTAGCTAACTGTCAGGCTATGTTTGTGCTTTGCCAGTTATTCCTAGCTTCACAGTAGCCAGTGACTAAAGAGTAGTAGCAAGGTAAGTCTGTCAGGCATTATCAGCTAACAAGTTCGCGTCTACTGGCTACCAGAGTCATATAGTTATGGGTTTGCTGGCTACTATAAATTAGCAAAATTCAGCATAAACTAGCTAGCTAACTAACACGCCAATGTGATTGGACTGCCATTGCCACTGAATATGAATCTGAAAGTGAAATACTCTTACATTAAAATACATGTTTTTAGAATCACAATCATCAAGGACACAAAAGTCCCGAACGCCTGTCTCTTCACGTTGAACAAAGAGGATCACACGCTTGGTAACATCATCAGACAGTGAGTGCAATTCTTTAATTTCATTGGGATTTTTTGTGCAATCAATGATACTTGCGAAGCTCCTCAATCATAACTTAAATGTATTGTATTTGCAGACAACTTCTGAAAGACCCCCAAGTGCTATTTGCTGGCTACAAGGTCCCTCATCCTCTGGAGCACAAGATTGTGATCCGTGTTCAGACCACACCAGACTACAGTCCTCAGGAGGCTTTCACTAATGCCATCACTGACCTCATCAGTGAGCTGTCCTTGTTGGAGGAGAGATTCAGGGTGAGTACATGAGATACCGTCATCATCACATCTCTTAATCTCTCAACATTAATAATATAAATAATATGCCATTTAGCAGACGCTTTTATCCAAAGTGACTCACAGTCATGCGTGCATACATTTTTTTTTTTTTTTTTTTTTTGTGTGTATGGGTGGTCCCGGGGATCGAACCCGCTACCTTGGCGTTACAAGCGCTGTGCTCTACCAGCTGAGCTACAGACCCATTGAAATGGGTCTGTCGGTACATTTCGTGGAACAGTTCTACTGTAGCAAACTGTCAATATATAATATTATATAGATTGTCCTCTATACTAGAACTGGTTGTGGAAAATAGCTATTTTGGCCAGAAATTTATGTATGCCGGTGGAAGCTGCTGAGGGGAGGACGGCTCATAATAATGGCTGGAACGGCGCAAATGGAATGGCATCAAACACATGGAAACCATGTGTTGATATATTTGATACCATTCCACCTATTCCGCTCCACCCATTACCACGAGCCTGTCCTCCCCAATTAAGATGCCACCAACCTCCTGTGATGTACGCACTATCTACATAGCAATATCCCTGAAACACTCATCTTCAATACTATTTGGGTTAAAAAGTCCTGTGTGGCTCACTTGGTACAGCATGGCACTTGCAATGCCAAGGCTGTGGGTTAAATTCCCACGGGGAACCAGTATGAAAATGTATGCACTCATTACTGTAAGTCGCTCTGGATAAGAGTGTCTGCAAAATGACTAAAATGCGAATGTATTTTTGAAAACTACTAATAATAATACTTTTTTAAAATGGTGAGTATTGACCTACCTGATCAGCAGAATGTGTAACTAATAAATTCATTATCTCTTTCAACTTTGTTTCAGGTTGCAATTAAAGACAAGCAAGAAGGAATTGAATGAGGATTGGTGCATACTGTTGTGAAAGAAGATGTCATTTTGAAGATCACTTTTCATTTGACCAGGATTCTATAAAAGTTCTCTGTTTTGGACTTACCATTACTGCCATGCTAGGCACAGCATGGCCTCTGTATCCAAAGTACTGAATGGAGTTTTGAGTTAGTTTTCATTCTAGACCATGATAACATATTTGCAGGAATGGATGTAATTGTATCAGTTAAATAATACTTTTTTCACACACTGAAACATAAGGAAATTGGTGATTTGAAACAGATTCTGAGATCATAGAGTGGATTGATTAATTCAAAACAGAAGCACATGTTGTTTTACTAATTTGAATTCAATACTCTAGTTTGTTAGGTACGTGCTGAAAGATGACAAGCATGGTTTAAAACGTTATTTCATGGAAATATTTAGCATGATATCTATTCCTGTTAAATGCTTTAGTTTTGCAATACCCGACATGCTCCTTATTTGGCCCTACATTTTCTGAGAATAGTGTGTCATGTACAGGTAAGGTTTGTTTTTGTTTTTCAATAAATCATTCTTGTAATATTTATTTTCATTTAACGTAATAGCCAGCCCCCCAATAGGGTTGTCACTAGTTAGCGCAGCCACAAAGTCAAAATTGTCTATCTTAAAACTTCATGAAAACAAATTAGCTTTTTGGTCTTCATTTTAGTTTCGGGTTAGGCAAAAGGTTAGCAGTGGGGTTAAGGTTGGGTTAAGAAGATACATTTTATAAATAGGCAGGGTTTATGTCTGTGGCTGTGTTAACTAGTGACGACCCCCTCCCCTCCCTCATAGAGCTCGCCAGCTTGTAGTCCTAAAAACCGGAAATGATGGTTTCTTCGTCCATTCCTATGGGGGAAAAGAATGGGGTTTTGGGATGAATGCCAAAAATAAGGTCTGAGGTTAACACAGGCTTAGAAGGTCTTATACGTTTTGTTCTATGAGATTAACAAATAAAATAAAAATGTACTTGTCACATGCGCCGAATACAACAGGTGTAGACCTTACCGTGAAATGCTTACTTACAAGCCCTTCACCAACAACGAAGTTTTAAGAAAATGGAGTTAAGAAAATATTTACTAAATAACAAAAGTAAAAATAACAATAATGAGGCTGTATACAGGGGGTACAGGTACCGAGTCAATGTGCAGTAGTACAGGTTAGTCAAGGTAATTTGTGCATTCGGAAAGTATTCAGACCCCTTGACTTTTTCCACATTTTGTTATTACGTTACAGCCTTATTATAAAATTGATTAAATTGTTTTTTTTCTTAATCAACCCCATAATCACAAAGCAAAAACAGGTTTTTAGAAATTTTTGCAAATTTATTAAAGAGTAGAAACAGAAATTTCACATTTACATAAGTATTCAGACCCTTTACTCAGTACTTTGTTGAAGCACCTTTGGCAGTGATTACAGTCTTTAGTATTCTTGGGTATGACGCTACAAGCTTGGCACACCTGTATTTGGGGAGTTTCTCCCATTCTTCTCTGCAGATCCTCTCAATCTCTGTCAAGTTGGATGGGGAGTGTCGATACACAGCTATTTTCAGGACTCTCAAGAGATGTTCGATCGGGTTCAAGTCCGGGACATTCAGAGGACTTGTCCCGAAGCCACTCCTGCGTTGTCTTGGCTGTGTGCTTAGGGTTGTTGTCCTGTTGGAAGGTGAACCTTCGCCCCAGTCTGAGGTCCTGAGCGCTCTGGAGCAGGTTTTCATCAAGGATCTCTCTGTACTTTGCTCCGTTCATCTTTCCCTGCCGCTGAAAAATATCCCAAGCTACCACCACCACCCTTCACCGTAGGGATGGTGCCATGTTTCCTCCAGATGTGACGCTTGGCATTCCGGCCAAGAAGTTCAATCTTGGTTTCATCAGACCAGAGAATCTTGTTTCTCATGGTCAGAGTCCTTTAAGTGCCTTTTGTCAAACTCCAAGCGGGCTGTCATGTGCCTTTTACTGAGGTGTGGCTTCCGTCTGGCCACTCTACCATAAAGGCCTGATTGGTGGAGTGCTGCAGAGATGGTTGTCCTTCAGGAAGGTTCTACCATCTCCACAGAGGAACTCTAGAGCTCTGTCAGAGTGACCATTGGGTTCTTGGTCACCTCCCTGACCAAGGCCCTTCTCCCCCGATTGCTCAGTTTGGCCGGGCGGCCAGCTCTAGGAAGAGTCTTCGTGGTTCCAAACTTCTTCCATTTAAGAATGATGGAGGCCACTGTGTTCTTGGGGACGTACAATGCTGCAGAATGCCCAGATCTGTGCCTCAACACAATCCTGTCTCGGAGCTCTATGGATAATTCCTTGGACCTCATTGCTTGGTTTTTGCTCTGACATGCACTGTTAACTGTGGGACCTTATATAGACAGGTGTGTGCCTTTCCAAATCATGTCCAATCAATTTAATTTACCACCGATCATCTCAAGGATGATCAATGGAAACAGGCTGCACCTGAGCTCAATTTCGAGTCTCATAGCAAAGGGTCTGAATACTTATGTAAATATGGTGTTTATTTTTATTTTTTATAAATGAGCAAAAATGTCAACAACAAAAAAACTTTTCGCTTTGTCATTATGGGGTATTATGTGTAGATTGAGACATTTTTACTATTTTTTACATTGTAGAATAATAGTGTAGACATGCTACAAAATTTGAAGAACTTTGAACGTTTCTTCAAGTGCAGTCGCAAAAACCATCAAGTGTTCATTAGAGTTACCAGCATCAGAAATTGCAGACCAAATAAATGCTTCAGAGTTCAAGTAACAGACACATCTCAACATCAACTGTTCAGAGGAGACTGTGGATCAGGCCTTCATGGTCGAATTGCTGCAAAGAAACCACTACTAAAGGACACCAATAAGAAGAAGAGACCTGCTTGGGCCAAGAAACACGAGCAATGGACATTAGACCAGTGGAAATTTGTCCTTTGGTCTGGAGTCCATATTGGAGATTTTTGGTTCCAACCGCCGTGTCTTTGTGAAATGTGGTGTGGGGGAAAGGATGATCTCCGCATGTGTATTTCCCACCGTAAAGCATGGAGGAGGAGGTGTTATGGTGAGGGGGTGCTTTGCCGGTGACACTGTCTGTGATTTATTTAGAATTCAAGGCACACTTAACCAGCATGGCTACCACAGCATTCTACAGCGATACGCCATCAGAGTCTGGTTTGGGCTTAGTGGGACTATCATTTGTTTTTCAACAGAACAATGACCCAACACACCTCCAGGCTGTGTAAGGGCTATTTTACCAAGAAGGAGAGTGATGGAGTGCTGCATCAGATGACCTGGCCTCCACAATCCCCTGACCTCAACCCAATTGAGATGGTTTGGATGAGTCGGACCGCAGATTGAAGGAAAAGCAGCCAACAAGTGCTCAGCATATGTGGGAACTCCTTCAAGACTGTTGGAAAATGCATTCCAGGTGAAGCTGGTTGAAAGAATGCCAAGAGTGTGCAAAGCTGTCAAGGCAAAGGATGGCTATTTGAAGAATCTCAAATATAAAAACACTTTTTGTGTTATTTCATAGTTTTGATGTCTTCACTATTATTCTACAATGTAAAAATAAAGAAAATCCCTTGAATAAGTAGGTGTGTCCAAACTTTTGACTGGTAAGGTATTTGATCCCCTGCTGATTTTGTATGTTTGCCCACTGACAAAGAAATGATCAGTCTATAATTTTAATAGTAGGTTTATTTGAACAGTGAGAGACTCCAGAAAAATGCATGTCAAAAATGTTATAAATTGATATGCATTTTAATGAGGGAAATAAGTATTTGACCCCTCTGTAAAACATGATTTAGTACTTGGTGGCAAAACCCTTGTTGGCAATCACAGAGGTCAGACGTTTCTTGTAGTTGGCCACCAGGTTTGCACACATCTCAGGAGGGATTTTGTCCCACTCCTCTTTGCAGATCTTCTCCAAGTCATTAAGGTTTCGAGGCTGACGTTTGGCAACTCGAACCTTCAGCTCCCTCGACAGATTTTCTATGGGATTAAGGTCTGGAGACTGGCTAGGCCACTCCAGGACCTTAATGTGCTTCTTCTTGAGCCACTCCTTTGTTGCCTTGGCTGTGTGTTTTGGGTCATTGTCATGCTGGAATACCCATCCACGACCCATTTTCAATGACCTCGCTGAGGTTTGACGGTACATGGCCCCGTCCATCGTCCCTTTGATGCGGTGAAGTTGTCCTGTCCCCTTAGCAGAAAAACACCCCCAAAGCATAATGTTTCCACCTCCATGTTTGACGGTGGGGATGGTGTTCTTGGGGTCCTAGGCAGCATTCCTCCTCCTCCAAACACGGAGAGTTGAGTTGATGCCAAAGAGCTCGATTTTGGTCTCATCTGACCACAACACTTTCACCCAGTTCTCCTCTGAATCATTCATATGTTCATTGGCAAACTTCAGACGGGCCTGTATATGTGCTTTCTTGAGCAGGGGGACCTTGCGGGCGCTGCAGGATTTCAGTCCTTCACGGCGTAGTGTGTTACCAATCGTTTTCTTGGTGACTATGGTCCCAGCTGCCTTGAGATCATTGACAAGATCCTCCCATGTAGTTCTGTGCTGATTCCTCACCATTCTCATGTCACCTTCTCATCAAGCTGCTTGGCGGTGGTCTTGTAGTGGTCCTCTGTAGCGTGGTCCTCTGTAGCTCAATTGGTAGAGCATGGCGCTTGTAACGCCAGGGTAGTGGGTTCGATCCCCGGGACCACCCATACGTAAAAATGTATGCGCACATGACTGTAAGTCGCTTTGGATAAAAGCGTCTGCTAAATGGCATATTATTATTATTATTATTATTATTATTATTATTATTATTATTGTAGCCCATTCCAGCCTTGTGTAGGTCTACAATCTAGTCCCTGACATCCTTGGAGAGCTCTTTTGTCTTGGCCATGGTGGAGAGTTTGGAATCTGATTGATTGATTGCTTCTGTGGACAGGTGTCTTTTATACAGGTAACAAGCTGAGATTAGGAGCACTCCCTTTAAGACTCATAAAAGACACCTGGGAGCCAGAAATCTTTCTGATTGAGAGGGGGTCAAATACTTATTTCCCCTCATTAAAATACAAATCAATTTATAACATTTTTGACATGCGTTTTTCTGGATTTTTTGGTTGTTATTCTGTCTCTCACTGTTCAAATAAACCTACCATTAAAATTATAGACTGATCATTTCTTTGTCAGTGGGCAAATGTACAAAGTCAGCAGGGGATCAAATACTTTTTTCCCTCACTGTATATATATATATATATATATATGTGTGTATATATAAACACTACCGTTCAAAAGTTTGGGGTCACTTAGAAATGTCCTTGTTTTTCATGAAAACATACATGAAATGAGTTTGAATAGGAAATATAGCAAAAATGAATAGGAAATGTAGTCTTTGACAAGGTTAGAAATACGGATTTTTTTTATTGAAATAATAATTGTGTCCTTCAAACTCTGCTTTCGTCAAAGAATCCTCCATTTGCAGCAATTACAGCCTTGCAGACCTTTGGCATTCTAATTGTCAATTTGTTGATGTAATCTGAAGAGATTTCACCCCATGCTTCCTGAAGCACCTCCCACAAGTTGGATTGGCTTGATGGGCACTTCTTACATACCATACGGTCAAGTTGCTCCCACAACAGGTCAATAGGGTTGAGATCCGGTGACTGTGCTGGCCACTCCA